ATTTATTATACTTATGTCTATTTCTTGCACATGCTTAAAGCTTATCAGAGTTCTAAATAAATAAATTCTCACATATACTTAAGCCTTATTAAGGGTCGGTGCCAGATATCTTACTGCCTGATGCAGTCTCTGTGGGTCCTAAATTCTGCGACTCGGTGCCGCCTTACAAGCGCTGGCACTGGTTCTGTGTTTATGTGAATAGCAAATCAGTTCTTAATTCAAATAATTCTAAGTTCAATCTTTGGGTCTATGAGTATCATCAACAAAATCCATTTTTAGCATATGGAAAGAAATTTTTAGTAAATTTTTCCGGCGCTAGGTATCTTACCGCTTTATGCAGTCTTTGTGAGTCCTAAATTCTGCGACTCAGTGCCGCCTTATGAGCCTTGGAGCTGGTTTTATGTTTATGTGAATAACAAATCAGTTCTTAATTCAAAGAACTCTAAATGTAATCTTTGGGTGTATGAGTATCATCAACAAAATCTATTTTTAGCATATGGAAAGAAATTTTTGGTAAATTTTTCCTCATCAACATTTCTTAGTGCATTTAACTTAAATCTGTAATCATCGCCAATCGTAATTTAAAAATAAAAGGTTACCATACTCCTTTGTTATTCAATTGCTAACATAAAAAAATTGTTTAGGCATCACTACATGAGTCATTACTCAAGTTGTCAATGTTGTCATGATGAAAGGAAAGTATAATAAATAATGAGTTGGCGTCAGATCAGCGATGTATCTATGTGAAATGTTTCGGTTTGAGATGTGTGCCAAGCTGATATGCAGCAACAGAGACAATTTATTGATCGCACAAATTTATGCTGAAATGATTGTTTCTTCAATAACAAGGTACTTTATTTAGTGTCAAAGTGAAATTAAAAATCGGAACTCTCCAGATGTTTTATTATGCGTGGAGGGGGGCATCAAATTCGGATGCGTAAAGCCTATGAGAAAAAGTTGGTGGTTTTTATGTCCGGATAATGAACGTCCGGATTTAGGACTTTGTACTTTTCGGGCTTTTGCAATTCTTAGTATATATGTGTGTAAAATATAACAAAATACGATGGCTGCTAAAGAAACAATTGGCGACCTCAAAATTAACTATTCTAGATTTTATGTTCTTCTTCCTAAATTCATATGTTCTCCCAAATTTGAGATCTTTCCATGTTACATAACAACCTAAAATTAACCAATCACAGATTAGCTGTACATATGCATTATACTTAGTATAAATACTCTTGGCAAAACAACTACGCCATTACTTTCCCTAACTTCTACCTTGCTAACATCTTTGCTCTGCTTTGCTTCTCAGATGCCTATGTCTTACTTTTAAAACCAGTGCAAATAAAAATTATCATATTTAAATATGATTGGATAAATTCCTTGTCTACAAAATTGATCTGATGTAAATTATAATGGAATAAAGTTGTGATTTGAAACTTCCACATCTGGAAGTTACTGGTTTCTGCATCTATCTCTCTAACTATGCACCTAAAATACTACACACACACATATATGCATTACAGCTAACTTCATTTTTATAATTCAATGTGTGTTAACAGAAGTAGCATTTGTGTGTTTATATCTGGTTTTTCATTGCAGCAGCATCAATATAGGTCTGTCATTTTGAAAATATACAGGTACATTACTAATAAAACCTTTCTAGAGGGAAATTCTCTCTAGTAAAATGTATATTACCGCTAGCTGGTATATTACCTAGAGGCTTGTGAGAAATTATTACAAGAAATAGATGAAAACAAACCAATGAATTGTAACAAGGTCATAGTTAATCCCCTTGAATATACTGATATCAAATACCTGCTAGATATATATGATTCGGGAAGGAAAAACATTCCTGATGCAATATTAAAATCAAACACATCATGTATGAACAATACCCTGCACCTGAATGGACTAGAGTATACACTGATGGCTCTAAAGTACAAGACAATACTGGGGCTGATGTATACAGTAAACTTTTTTCTCAGTGTACTCCTGTGGAACACTTCATGTTGAATTTTGATGTAGAGATCCTTGCAATCTCATTGGCTCTGGAAAACCTCAAGATAAAGATCAGTTTTTTCTCTAAAGCAGTTATTCTAGTCGATTCCAAAGCAGCCATTCAGGCTGCAATTATAAATCATGACACAGATACTCAGATTATCTCAGAATAAGACAAACCTTGACCTTTCTTTATAAACACAACAAAACAATTGTTTTTCAATGTATCCCTTCACATGTAGGTATCGATGGTAACCAAAAGGCAGACTAACTATCCAAGACAGGAACTACGCTACAAGACAGCAAATCACATCATCCAGAGTCACTTAAAAAGCATATTTTTGAGAAATTAATGGATACTGTTAAGTATGACCTGGCAGCAAAAGCAACAGACAAATCATGGGCTAACATTCAAGACACATGGAAAAAGTTTCATCAAAAACCCGGTAAAGAGGTTGTGGCAAACTTCAGACTGCAAACAGGCTATGATTGCATGGCACGTCATCATAACAAAATAGGCATCCTTCCATCTAGTATATGTCAAATTTGCAATTCGGGCATTATGAATGCAGAGTATCTTCTTATATGCTCAGAACTAGATAAAGAATCTCAGAAACGTGGTGAGATAAGTAAACTATATTGGAATGCCAGAGCATTCATGAACTCCTTGTAAAGACTACATCTCTTATGTTCCTTTCCTTGTTGTTTAAATTTTTAACTTTTTACTTTTGTTCCCATGTTCATTTATTCTAATTCTTAATTTATAAATGTTTATTCTTTTTTATTATTTACCATTGATCACGTGTGATACTTGAGCTGTTTTTATATGTTCGGATTGATATTTCCAATAAAGCTGTATGTAATAACAACATATTACCACTATAGGTAGTTTATTGCTTATAATTCTCCATTGAATCTGTGATTACATTTTTAGAAATTAGTAACACTTAGTCTGACATTTTTTAAGAAATAGTTGCAAACATTTGCCATTTTAATTCTCATGTTTGAAAAATCAAGAAGTTTAGAACAGGAATAGCGATGGTTCACTGTGTCCCTCCACTATCAGAAATGAAATCCTACGTAACAAGCGGTGGTTATCTTTGTAAACTCAAAAGATTCCTTTATAGCAGTGAAACATACGTATTTCCAGTAAGAATAGTTAAATTTATAACGAAATGCCTCGCTATTGTTAAATTTTTGTTTTAAAGTAATAAAGATGGTATCTATAATTTACTATGTGCAGGAAATTATGAAGAAATAGTTCTAAATCGAAATGCTAATGTCGTTAAAAAATTAATTATAAAGCCTTTCAAAACAAAGTTTCTGCATATTTCAAGGATTTGTTTTTTATTACTTACCAGTTGGGTGTACCTTCCAATTTTTCCTTTAAAAAGAGATATTTCTAATTTATTTCAAATATTATAGAAATTTATTAAAGAATCGTGTTATATATAAATATTTAAGAAAAAGAAAGGAAAGTTATTTTATTTTTATATGCTTAATAGTTCAGCTTTAAGTTGTAATACACTAAAACAGAAATTAACACATTTTTTATTGGCTAAAGCAGTTATTTAGTTATAGCTTTCAGTTTTACTGGTTGTAGCAGTAATATCTAAAAAAATAGTCACCGCTTTATGCTGCAATACATTAAAACGAAAATTAACATATTTTTTATTGGCTACAGAAGTCATTTAGTTATGGCTTGCAGTTTTACTGGCTGTAGCAGTAATATCTAAAAAACAAGTCACAGCTTGCATTTTTTAAATGAAACTTTTAAATCCTATATGGATCCTTTTCATAACCTTGTAACAACAAGAAAAAATAAACATTAAAATAAAATAAAACAGATGTATGCAAATTTGATAATTTCAGTTTATACTTGTTTCATAATTATGAATCTCAAGAAAGTTACCCTGAATTAAGCTGAATTACAGAAATATACCTATATAAATAATTTGGTATGTCTCCACATTTTCAATTATGGTAAATATTTTACTTACTTTTATCGCTATATTGCCTAGGAATTTGTTAGTTTATGCAGTTTTTAACAACACAACAGTTTATCTTGATCACATGCAAAAATTATATTCATAACAGTTCACAAAACTTAAAAGTGAATAATAATTAATACATAAAGAAAACATTACTTTATTTAACACCTTTATAGTTCATAAAAGTAGCAACAACTGATTTCTTACTTTTCATGGAAATTATAAAATGAATTACTTAAAATGTTCAAATTACATACTTTAATCCTAGCATATATGATTGCATGTTAAGGAAGGAAGATGCCAGTTATAAACAGAAACATTAAAATGTATTTAACATCTTTTGATTGCTATTAAATCCTTTTTTTCACGTGTTAAAGAAAATGCATGACGTGATATTTTTCAGCCTATTTATCAAATTACATTTAAAGAAAAATATCAATATTGCGCATGAAAAGTAATCCCAGGAATCTTTTTAGAAGTTTTGTTCGTACATAGGTAACACAAGATCTCATATTTCAATTTTTCTTTTAATTGTTGGAATCACAAGTCTTTCTTGTGCAAATGGTTTGAGTAATATGGCCACCGAGGATTCAGCATTTGAGTTGAACCCACCCTCCTCCTATTCAAACTTGGATGAAACTAATTTCATTACAGGTAGATAATAAAAGACAGTTTTAGCTTCCTTGAGTCAAGTAAATGCTTTTTGAGAACTCATTTTTGAAAGAATTATTGTAATAAAAATAGTTTCTTATAAGAACAATGAGCTAGGGGTTTTAGCATGATAGAAGTGAAACCACAAAGTGTTAAAATCAAAAGAAAAAGACTTCTATGTAGTTGCCTTTATTAAACTCGGAAGAGAGAGATGTATTTTTGATATCCTAGAAATCTGAAATTGAAGAAGTGACATCACTTACCATTCTATGAAATCATAATCATTTTGATCATTTATCTTCCAGAATTATTCATATTTTGTTTTTTATATATATTTTTTGTATTCTTGGTATATAGGTTACCTACAATTGAATCTCAAAATAGTCCTCTTACTGAACGCTTGGTTTCTTCTCTTGTGGAGGAAAATCTTATGACATCACTTGACGATTCCATGGCAGAAACTTGTGAAGGTAATCTTCATTCTTTCAACATTTTAAAACACTTCATTTTTTCAACAATTTAAAAGTGCATGTGCATAAAGAGCTGCTCACATTTAACATTTATTTTTTATATTTTAAAGATGTCGGGCATTTTTAGTTTCTACTTTTTGGAATAACTAATAAACTGGAGGATGCAGTTATATAAATGTCATGAAATACAGTTTAATCAAAACTGTGGCATTTTTAGATCTCTTTTAAATATATGTTGCTTATTAAAAATATGTGAAAGTACAAAGTTTGATGATATTTAACATAAAATTATGTAACCTTAAATAATTCAGTTTCTATTTTCAATCAAATTATAAACTTTCTCTTAATTATCAGACTGAAAAGTAATGCATTTTAAATTTGATCTGATTAATGTGGTACTTTCCAGCTTTTTTTTATTCTGCTAATGAAACATATCCTCCTCCTACATAGTTGGGGAAAACTAAAATATTGATAAGCATTTATTTACATATTAATGAAATATTTTCAGTTTCAAGATGTGTATATATACAGTGAGTAAAAAAAAAAAAAATGGGGGGCAGTTTTATCTCTCATTCTAGTTATCTGATTGACAAAATTAGGCTTGCATTTTTCATGTCTCAAAAGTATGACTTAGGAGATGTAATAGATTTATATACAGCACCGTTCTAACATATATATTTTAAACAAAATCAGTTTTTTTCTGATATGACGTACCAATTTTTTTCACTTTGATTCTGTATCTCAGATTATGGCAAGTGCCAGGTCTTATAAAAATCTCAGGAGGAGGGTTTTTTTTTTTTTTTTTTTTTTTTTTTTTTTTTTTTAATTAGAACCCAAAATTTTAGCTTGGTAATGTTAACTGAATTTAGATTTTATTTCATAACACTGCTGTCTTAATCTCCCTTGCTATCTTCTCTTTTAATTTGAAATTTAGTTTTAATCCAAATAAAATATTAAGACACTTGCTTATTTTTAAATAATTTTTTACAGATTTTTCAATAATAATAATAATTATGACATAAAAATTTGCACACCTTCGTAAGATACAATTTTTAGCCTTATCTTCAATTAGAATATTAGAATTTTTTAATTGTGTGAGATAAATTTAAATATTAAAAATGTTTGACAGTGATTTCCAAACTCGTGCAGGGATGATGCCAAATCTGACCATTTCATTTTATACTGTTAAATTCTTTCCACTTAGATTTATCTTTCATATCATTTCAATTTCAAGTAAATTTAACAAACTGGTATTTACCAGTGCAGTATTTTAAATATTTTAATTTAAAAAAGTCAGATTTGCAATTTTTCAAAAACTGAAACCGTATTAAAATTTTTAAGAATGTTATATAACTGGTTCTAAATATATGTTATATTTGGCCTAAATATCTCTTATTCTCTATAAAAGTTCTTGGTCATGTTGACTGTTTCTATTATTTTTATTTTTTAATTCCGTTTCTTCTTCTTCTTCTTCTTTTTTTTTTTTTTTTTTTTTCTGCTCTTACTTTTAGTTTTATGTTGTGGGATTAGATGTTTTTTAAACTCTTTAATGTGTAATCCTTGGTATTTACTCTAAATATAAAAGCATCATTATGTGAAACATATGACTCTTTTTTATAGTCTCTTATTTCTTTTATGAGGTATAATACTGCACCAGTTAAAGGCTAAATATTCGCTAATTTGTGCATCATACAAAAGATTTCTGACAAGAAAATGTATCAAATCTTAAAAAGCCATGAGAATTATTCTTTTAATTTGATTTTTATACTGTGTCAAAGCATATTTTCAGACAAGGACTACTACAAACATCTCGATGGTAATTGCTGTAATACATGAAAAGCCCACCTGTGGCCAAGTGTTACGATGTGTTGTTGAGAAGGGACCAGAGGGGAAAAGAAAATCTGTCATTAAAATGAAAGAAATTTTTGAGAAGGGAGATTAACAATTTCTTACGTGCATTTCTTGATAATTTCATTTAAAATAACAAAAACAATAACTAAATGAAAGCAATTTTTTTTAATGAGCATGTCTTAAGTTCCTGAAGATATTGCTTTGTTACATTGTTGTTAAAAACTGAAAGAAGTTTAAAAATATTTTAGCGTTGGAAAAAGGAATTATCCTTCTTTCTGATTACATAATGTATAAAGTATATGTGTATGTAATATTTATTATAAAATGTCAACTATGCACCCAAAGGAAAGTAAAATTAAACAAATTTCTGAGTGCCAAAGAAATTAGAAAATTTTAAGAAATTTGGTTTCAGCTTATTAGTGGCAAATGAAAATACAATTTAAATTTATGTAATATAAGGAAAACTATTTTATTAAAAATAGATTTCAAAACTGATATTTTTGTAATTTAATTTTTAGAAAACCATTTCAAGTTGAACTTGGTATAATAGTTAGGTAGCTGAAAGTAAATATTTGTTACAGGAGTTTCATGTTCAGTTTAACATCTTCCCTATAAATTTGGTACTTTGTTATTATTGCAACCACCTTTGATGAAGTCGCCAAACTGTGGCAACCATGCACATAACAGTTCTTCAGGTAACCGTATTAATAACTGTAAGTTTGAATAAGCAATGTTGGCATTTTCATACATGCTGTTTTCGTAGTATTAGAAACTCTGAAGGCAAATTGTGATATTTTTGGCTTTCAGCTGAATTTTGAAATATGTGCTTGTGGGATTTGGTTGCAAATGCAGAAAGTTCTGTGAAATTTTTCAGGACTATAATATTTTGCACGGGCGGGAATGTTCAGATTCGTATTTGATGATGATGTATTTTGGAAGATGACCATTTTAGAAATTCAGTGTGAAAAAGTGTAATGAACACATCAGCATTCAGAGTGATAATTAGTTCAAGAACAGTCTTCTGGCATTTACTTAAGTATTTAGATTTATGCATTGCTTAAGTAAAGAATTAATGAATGTTAAATTTTTCTTGGAACAGTTAGAAATATGTTAGAATGTACATGTGGGAGATACCATTTTTAAGTAATTTTTTAACTTGATTTTTGGGATAAATATTGAATTAAAATATGTGCCTAATAAATAACATGTATGATATGAAATAAATAATTTTCTCCGATTTGAAATTACCTTTATTTCTCTTCTTCATAAACTTGCCAGATTGCTCTAAGGTGGTTGTGATAATACCAGAGTACCTAAATTTTATATAACAAATGCAATAAACAGATATTAAATATGTGTGTATGCATCTACATACTGTGTGTATGTGCATTTTGGTAAAAAAAAAAAAAAAAAAAAAAAAAAAAAAAAGCCATTAACTCAATTTACAATAATTTTTCACATATCATTATTTCCAAAATAATCCATGTTTACTAAATCTACAGCATATATACTGTTACAAATTTTGTACATATATAAGTAATTTTAGTGAAAGTTTATGTAAATTGTAGTATATCTTGCATAGTGTAGCATGAAAGGCCTGAGAGAGGGAAACATTATGGGAAAAGCAGGGTGTTAGAGTAAAATCCATTTAACACTGAGCTAAATGGCTATTTCGCTAAACTGGCAAAATAACGAAAAGCTGCCATAAGTTTTAAAAACTATCTTTTGTTGCCAAATTTGGCGATTAATCATCAAAAGTGTCCAAACTTAGCGACCATTTGGTGTTGTTTGGGTTCGATCCTTGGCTAACTAAAATTAGTGCGATCCCTATGTGTCTGTTATTGTGTATGCCTTCCAGAAATTTTAAGAAATCAAAGATTCTGGAAATTCTTTTGTGGCTGAAGGAAAACTATAAGATCAGAGAGAGCATCGGTTTTCAGTTGAATTCAGAGTTTAGCTCAGAATATTGAGAAATCACTGTGCAAGCATCTGCATCTGAGGCTTTCTGCATTACCTTGCATTCAACTTAGTAGTTGAAAGTGATAACTACTGATTGTGCTGTGTTGGATTAAAAAGAGTTGTACAAATACTTCTGTGTGAAAGGTTCCAGAACTATAAAGTGTTTTTGGAAAAGTAAATTTCAAGGGGGGGGGTTCTTTGTAAACTGCAGTTCTTCAGCAGTAAATTAATGTTAAGTATGTTTACATACCCAATTCCTCTGCTCATTGTTCTAGTTTATGCACATATGCATTTTCTGTATTTATGTGTTGCTTAAACAGAAAGTAAACAAAAGTTAGCTGCATGTGTTAAGATATTCATGTGTGGTTCATAATGAAAACTATGTTGGGCCTTCATGCACTTTATGTAAGTTACCATTGTGCATAATTTAGATGTACACTTTGCACAAAAACAAAACAAAAAAAGGGGGACAGTTATATATCTCTCATTCTACTGGGCCAATCGACGAAACTCAACTTGCATTTTTTATCTATCAAAAGCATGACTTAGGGTATATATTAGATTTATATATAGCATTGTTCTAATATAGGTATTTTGACACAAAATCGGACTTTTTTGAAATCACATGCCATTTGTTTTCCATATTTCAATTCCACGTCTCATATTATGCCAAACTGCCAAGTTTTGTAAAAATCGCACGAGTAGTTTTTAAAAAATTGGCTCTTAAAATTTTAGCTCCTCAACGTTAATTGAATTTGATATATATTTATTAATATCTCTTTTTTTATAAAAGTTACTTGATTCCACCTTCCAGAATTAAAAATTTATGCTTAATCCAAATATAATTCATACATTTTTTTATGATTTATTTTTAAAATTTGTATTTTGAAATATTTTTTATAAAGTTTTCGAAAATATTTTTGTATCATAACCTATAAAATTTTTACCATCATTTTAAAGTAGATGTATTTCTAAGAATGCCTGCAAAAAATAGAGTTTTTTTACTCAAAATTTTCTAAGATATACATGAATTTGCATATTGGGGCATTTTGAAATTTAGCATATTTTATGCATTTTGTTAAAATTATTTGAAAGTGTGAACAATGATTTTTTTTTTTGCTCATATGCAATGAAAAAAGGAAAAGAAAATAGGTTTCTTTAAATTAAGAAGTTCACCAAGTGAATCATTC